CTCTGTGCCCCGAGCCTTGCACCTGCCGCCTGTGTTCACAGTCTGCCATGGCTCCCCAAGGGGCCCAAAAGTGTCCCACTGACCACCTCATGCTACGACAGGGCCCCATGTCCATCTGCCACCAGACGCTTGCACCTCCTGGAGTTTCTCTGAGTTTAGCTCCAACCCAGCACCTGGCCCAGGTGAACATCAGGACGTCGGCAGGGCCTGGGCCTGGGGACCTACAGACCCTCACCTGTGTCTCACTCTGGGTTTGGGGGGCAGGCAGGAAGAGGATAGAGGGGCACTGGCCTGGCTTGGGGGCGAGGGCAGAGGCGGCTCTGGGACCCCAGGACCACGGATGGGAAGGGGTCCTTTCTAGGAGTGAGCGGGCCTCTCACTCCTTCTCCAAGCAGCTCTGGAGCCGCCGCCAAAACAACTGCCAGCCTCCCCGCTCCATCCGCTCTGCAAGGCCATGAGTGACCAACAGTGTGGCCTCAGCAGCCTGACGTGAGTGACACCCCAGCCCCTCCCATGGAGGACACCCAAGGGACCCAGGACAGAGGGAGGAGAGGCCTGGGGGGAGGGCTGGGGGGTTGGGGGAGGGCTGAGGGGGCTAGGGGGAGGGCTGAGGAGGTTGGAGGAGGGCTGAGGAGTCTGGGGGGAGGGCTGGGGGGCTGGGGGAGGGCTGAGGGGCTGGGGGAGGGCTGAGGGGCCTGGGGGAAGGGGCTGAGGGGGCTGGGGAAGAGGGCTGAGGGGCCTGGGGGGAGGGCTGAGGGGCCTGGGGGAGAGCTGAGGGGCCTGGGGGAAGGCTGAGGGGGCTGGGGAGGAGGGCTGAGGGGCCTGGGGGGAGGGCTGAGGGGCCTGGGGGGAGAGCTGAGGGGCCTGGGGGGAGGGCTGAGGAGGTTGGGGGAGGGCTGAGGAGGTTGGGGGGAGGGCTGAGGAGTCTGGGGGGAGGGCTGAGGGGGCCTGGGGGAAGGGCTGAGGGGGCTGGGGAGGAGGGCTGAGGGGCCTGGGGGGAGGGCTGAGGGGCCTGGGGGGAGAGCTGAGGGGCCTGGGGGGAGGGCTGAGGAGGTTGGGGGAGGGCTGAGGAGGTTGGGGGAGGGCTGAGGAGTCTGGGGGGAGGGCTGAGGGGCCTGGGGGAAGGGCTGAGGGGCTGGGGAGGAGGGCTGAGGGGCCTGAGGGGGAGGGCTGAGGGGCCTGGGGGAGGGCTGGGGGGCTGGGGGAGGGCTGGGGAGTCTGGGGGGAAGGGCTGAGAGGTCTGGGGGGAGGGCTGAGGGGTCTGGGGGAGGGCTGGGGTGGTCTGGGGGGAAGGGCTAAGGGGTCTGGGGGAGGGCTGAGGGGTCTGGGGGAGGGCTGGGGGTCTGGGGGGAAGGGCTAAGGGGTCTGGGGGAGGACTGGGGGGCTGGGGGAGGGCTGAGGGGCCTGGGGGAAGGGCTGAGGGGGCTGGGGAGGAGGGCTGGGGGCCTGGGGGGAGGGCTGAGGGGCCTGGGGGGAGAGCTGAGGGGCCTGGGGGGAGGGCTGAGGAGGTTGGGGGAGGGCTGAGGAGTCTGGGGGGAGGGCTGAGGGGCCTGGGAGAAGGGCTGAGGGGGCTGGGGAGGAGGGCTGAGGGGCCTGGGGGGAGGGCTGAGGGGCCTGAGGGGGAGGGCTGAGGGGCCTGGGGGGAGGGCTGAGGAGGTTGGGGAGGGCTGAGGAGGTTGGGGGAGGGCTGAGGAGTCTGGGGGGAGGGCTGAGGGGCCTGGGGGAAGGGCTGAGGGGGCTGGGGAGAAGGGCTGAGGGGCCTGAGGGGGAGGGCTGAGGGGCCTGGGGGGAGGGCTGAAGGGTCTGGGGGGAGGGCTGGGGGTCTGGGGGAGGGCTGGGGAGTCTGGGGGGAAGGGCTGAGGGGTCTGGGGGGAGGGCTGAGGGGTCTGAGGGAGGGCTGGGGGGTCTGGGGGGAAGGGCTAAGGGGTCTGGGGGGAGGGCTGAGGGGTCTGGGGGAGGGCTGGGGGGTCTGGGGGGAAGGGCTAAGGGGTCTGGGGGGAGGACTGGGGGGCTGGGGGAGGGCTGAGGGGTCTGGGGGGAAGGGCTAAGGGGTCTGGGGGGAGGGCTGAGGGGTTTGGGGGAGGGCTGGGGGGTCTGGGGGAAGGGCTAAGGGGTCTGGGGGGAGGACTGGGGGGCTAGGGGAGGGCTGAGGGGTCTGGGGGGAAGGGCTAAGGGGTCTGGGGGGAGGGCTGGGGGGCTGGGGGGAGGGCTGAGGGGCCTGGGGGAGGGCAGAGGGCCAGGCTGGTCCTGGCTTGCCTGGAGCCCTCCCACAGGGGGATAAGGAAGACAGGACTGGGATTCCTCTGTGTGCTGGGTGCTGTGGCAGATGGCCGGACTCTGGGGTCAGGCTGCCCACATGTCCTGTGAGGCTCCGACTGGCCAGGCCGTGGTTCCCTCCCCTGGAAGCAGAGCCAGTAGATTCCACCTTGCAGGGTGGATGTGAGATTTCTAAGGCTCGGCACCCACAGAGCCTGGAGCGTGAAAGCTTCCCAGCCACCGTCAGCTTGCACCACGTGAGCAGAGTCGGAAGTGACCGGAACTGGGGGGGGCAGTGGGCTCGGCATGGTCACACGGCAAACACGTTTGGCGTGGGGAGTGGGATATGGCATGGCAATCTGCAAGGCAGCAGAAGGAGCCCACACAGGGGACCACGCATGGGCCGGCAGTCCCAGCCGCATTCGTGCTGAGCCGAGCAGCCGCCACTGCTTGTGGTTCAAACCGAGCAGACAGCACAGCCGCCAGGTGCTGCCGCCAGGTAAACCGGGGTCTGCCTGATGGACGGTTCCATGCTGCCGTGAGTCTCCAGAGCAGACCCTGGGCCGGGGGGAGCGGGCAGTTTGTGCAGCTGGGGGCCTGCGGATGACGCGCGTGCCTCTCGGTCACAGGCTGTCCCACGGCAAACTCTCCGATGCTGTCTGCCGAGACCTCTCGGAGGCCCTGAAGGCAGCCCCTGCCCTGACGGAGCTGAGTCTCCATCACATCAGCCTCAGCGAGGCCGGCCTGCGGGTGCTGAGCCAGGGACTGGCCTGGCCCCAGTGCCGCCTACACAGGCTCAGGTGAGCCTGGCCTGACGGGCAGACGGATAGGGCCCCGCCCCCAGGGTGCAGCGGCCCTGTGTGCCGTTCTGCAGACCCTCAGGTAGAGGCAGGTCCTGCAGGGCACGGTGGGGGCCTGGGGGCTTCCCTAGGGTCTGGACCACCCTCCCCAACCAAATGTCCCTCTGCTGCTTGGCGCCCATGGCCAGTCTGGACCAGTGATTTCAACACCCTCTTACCCCCCAAAGACCTCCAGCCCCTGCCCCTGCCCCTGCCCCACCCTAGCCAACCACCTCTGTCACGGCATCCCTTTAGCAAGCCTGGCCATAGCTCCCACCTCCCACAGCGCCCCCAGCCCCAGCCTCTTCCCCAGTGGACGCCCTCTGACCTGTGCATGTGCTGTAGTCTGGCCTCTGTGGAGCTGAGTGGGCAGTCTCTGCAAGAGCTGCGGGCTGTGAAGACAGCGAAGCCAGATCTGGTCATCATCCACCCAGCACTGGACGCTGACGCCGAGCCCCTCCCGGAATGCAGCAGTGCCCTCTAAAGCCTGGAGGCCAGAGCAGGTGGAGGACCCTGTGGCCAGTGTACCCAGCCGGGGAGGGAACAATGCTTTCAGCCTCCAGCCAATTCGTGTGAACCAAGAGGCCCTGGACGGCTCTGGACGTCACCGACCCCAACTCCTTGAGTTCTTCCCCAGGACCTAGGCTGCTCCTCCCACCTGCGTGCCCTGGGCCCCCCGGCTGCACCCCCAGACATGCCCAGAAGCCCTGCTAATCTCACACCTGGTGCGGGTCAGCAGAGTGTGCAGGCCCACAAGCCGGCCCTGTGGGCAGAGACTGGGCCCTCCTCACCTCTGCCTGTTGGGCTGGCTCTGGCCATCCCTGAGGCTCTATGGCCTGCCCTTGGGGCACCCACTGGCCAGGGGGGCAGTGGGGACAGAGCAGCAGCAACCCTGCGGCTTGGGAGGCAACCACGTGCACTGGAAATAAATTTTCCTCTGGGTTCAGTTCTGCTGGCTTCTGTTGGGCTCGGCCAGGCATGCTGACTGGCCAGGCAGTCCTTCAGCCAAGCCAAGTGAGCAGGCGGGGCTGTGCTCCTCTGTCCCCCACTGGGAGAGCTAGCACTTGGGGCAGCAAGGCTGAGCCTCGAAGGGCAGAACCAGCGGTGGACAGCTCCAGAAATTTTGAGTCTGCTGAGCTGAGCCAGCTCCTGAGACACCAGACCACTCCGCAGGCAGCTGGGGGGGTGGGGGTGGCCTGGGGGCTGAGGACCGGTGAAGTCACCATGGCCTGGCCAGGGCGCCGCGGCAGGAGGAACTCGAGAGTCCAGTGTCCAGCTGGGCCCGGGCAGAGGGGACCGAGACAGGCTCCCAGGTGGGGCCAGGGAGGGAGACTCAGGAACCAGGCAGGCCAGGTGGGTGTGCGGGGCGGGTGCTGACGGTGGGGGGGACAGGGGAGGAGCGAGAGGGGAGAAATAAATCGCCAGCCAGAGGCCTCGCAGGCGGCTTAAATCCACCCTGGGCCACTTCTCAATCCGGTCCGCGTGTGTCCAATTTGGCCGGCGGACACCGGCGGGGTTTGCCGGTTGTGTGGGCGGGGGGTAGGGAGGGCGGGACCCTCCGGGCCTCCGCCCAGCCGCGCAGCGCGGCCCTGGGGGCGGATCTGGGGGCGGGACCTCCATGCCTTCCTGGGCCTGGTCTTGCACCCTCCTGCCCGCCGCGGGGCCTTCTTCCCGGCCCAGGCGTCCAGGGGGAGCCAGGGACAGAGGCTCCCGCTGCGGTGAGTCCTGAGCCCGGCGCCCGCGGCAGACGGGAGGGCGGAAGGCGGGTTCGGGGCCCGTCCACAGCCCCGGAGGTCCGCCGCCGGCTGGCGCGCGCTTCGGTTGGGAGACTGGTGGATGGCTGTGGGGTTCTGCGTCCCAGGACGCCAACACTAGCGGGGAGGGGCCGAGTAGATCTGAAGGTTGCGGTGGCTCCGCAGCAGGGCACCCTCACCGCCCAGCCAGTCACGGGGCCCCGACCCCCAGGCCCTGTCGCAGGAGACCCCTCCATGGAGGCTGCAGGGGTGGACCCTGCGGTGTTCACCGCTCACTCACTGCCCAGTGACCCCCGGCTCTGGGCCACTGTGACCAACGCATACCTGGGCACACGCGTGTATCACGGGACCATACATGTGAGCGGTGTGTACAACGGGACCCGGGGAGACACACACCGGGCCGCTCTGCCCAGCCCACTCAGCGTCCGGCTGGAGGCCCCTGCGGGCTCAGCAGAGCCGCTAACTGAGACGTTTGTCCTGGACACCAACACAGGTAGCTGCCATCTGCCCTGGCCGCCCCTGCCCCGGCCCTGTTCCATGCAGCAGACCCCTCCTCTGTACACAGGGAGCTCACAGGGGGCAGCCTCCTGAGGGTGGCCTCTGGCGCCCCCTTTCCTCCCATCTGGGGGCTCTGCATGGGCAGGAGCCTGGGGTCTTCAGAAGAGCAGAGGGGCAGGGAGGCTCAGGGCTGGGCCCCCCCACCCCCAGGGGGAAGGTGGCAGAGGCAGGAGTGGGGCCACCTCAGCCTGGGGCGGGGAGTGACAGAGGTCAGAGCGGGGCCACCCCAGCCTGGGTTGGGGGGAAGTGGCAGAGGCAGGAGTGGGGCCACCTCAGCCTGGGTGGGGGGGAGTGGCAGAGGTCAGAGTGGGGCCACCCCAGCCTGGGTTGGGGGGAGATGGCAGAGGTCAGAGCAGGACTACACTAGCCTGGGAGGGAGTGACAGAGGTCAGAATGGGGCCACCCCAGCCTGGGTTGGGGGGAGTGACAGAGGTCAGAGCAGGACCACACCAGCCTGGGGGGGAGTGGCAGAGGTCAGAGTGGGGCCACCCCAGCCTGGGTGGGGGGTGGCAGAGGTCAGAGTGGGGCCACCCCAGCCTGGGTGGGGGGGAGTGGCAGAGGTCAGAATGGGGCCACCCCAGCCTGGGTTGGGGGGGAGTGACAGAGGTCAGAATGGGGCCACCCCAGCCTGGGTTGGGGGGAGTGACAGAGGTCAGAGCAGGACCACACCAGCCTGGGGCGGGGAGTGACAGAGGTCAGAGTGGGGCCACACCAGCCTGGGGGGGGGTGGCAGAGGTCAGAGTGGGGCCACCCCAGCCTGGGTGGGGGAGAGTGGCAGAGGTCAGAGCAGGACCACACCAGCCTGGGAGGGAGTGGCAGAGGTCAGAGTGGGGCCACCCCAGCCTGGGTTGGGGGGAGATGGCAGAGGTCAGAGCAGGACCACACTAGCCTGGGAGGGAGTGGCAGAGGTCAGAGTGGGGCCACCCCAGCCTGGGGGGGAGTGACAGAGGTCAGAGCAGGGCCACCCCAGCCTTGGGGGGGAGTGGCAGAGGTCAGAGCAGGGCCACTCCAGCCTGGGTGGGGGGAGAAGGCAGAGGTCAGAGTGGGGCCACCCCAGCTGCGGCCCCACTGGACAGCCCTGGCCTCTTCTGCCCGCCCCAGGCTCCTTCCAGCACACCCTGGAGGGCCCCAGCTCCCGGGCTTCCCAGCGCATCTATGCCCACCGCACACTGCCTCACGTCCTGGCCGTCAGCGTGTCCCTCACCCGCCTGGCCACGGGGCACCGGCCCATCACCGTGCTGCTGCAGTCGGCTTTCTCCCCAGAAAGCCCTGACCTGGACCTGCAGCTGGGTCCTGACTTCAAAGGAGCCCGGTGAGGAGGGGGCTGGGACCCCTCACCCACCCTGTGGCATGGCTGAGGAGGGGGCCAGCACTGAGGCCTGCCCTGCCCCCGCAGGTACCTGCATGGCCACACGCTGACACCTGAGCAGCCTGGGGGTGTGCGGCAGGAGGTGCACATGCTGTGGACACCAGTACCCCCGGCCCTGACCCTGGGGGAAGGCGAGGAGGACAGGACCTGGGAGTTCCTGACTGTGGTGGGCAGCAGCCAGGCCGAGGCCCAGGCCTGCTTCACCGAGGCCCTGCAGCTGCAGGCCAGGGGCACACTGTACCCGGCCCACGCACAGGCCTGGGCCCAGCTGTGGGCAGGCTGTGGCCTGGACGTGGTGGGGCCCCTGCATCTGCGCCAGGCCCTGCGTGGCTCCCTCTACTACCTGCTCAGTGCCCTGCCCCAGCCCGGGGCCACCGGCTACGTCTGCCACGGCCTCAGTCCCGGGGGCCTCTCCAACGGGAGCCGGGAGGAGTGCTACTGGGGCCACGTCTTCTGGGACCAGGTGCGCACGTCCACCCAGCACTGACCACACGCTGCAGGCGCGTGTGCATCACGGACCACTGCCTCGGCCCCCCTGGAATCAGGGCTGTGGGCAAGGCCCTGGAGCTGAGTGGGCGTGGCCTGTGGCGGGTCAGAGGTGGGCCGGGTCCCCAGGGCCTTGCAAGGAGCACAGCACAGAGCCTGCAGAACCCCTGCAGGGCCAAGTGCAGCAGCAGGAGGGTGAGGGGTGGGGGTCTCCTGCACCTGCTGAGCCCACGCCCAGCCCCCTTTGTGGACGAGGAGGCTGAGGCCCAGGCGCTGGCTCTGAGCCAGGTGGTGGGTGCAGGACTGAGGGAGGGAGGTGTGGGCGTGTGCAGCAGGACCGGGGGAGGGAGGGAGGTGTGGGCGTGTGCAGCAGGACCGGGGGAGGGAGGGAGGTGTGGGCGTGTGCAGCCCTACAGCAGCCGGTCGTCTCAGGATCTCTGGATGTTCCCGAATATCCTGATGTTCCACCCGGAGGCCGCCAGGGCCATCCTGGAATACCGCATCCGGACGCTGGACGGGGCCTTGGAGAACGCCCGGAGCTTGGGCTACAAGGTGAGCGATGCTGGGAGCCACCCTGAGCCCACACCGCGGAGGGGGAGGAGCAGCTGTGGGGCTGGGCCCCTGCTGTGACCCAGACCTCCTGGGTCCCCCTCACTGCCCTGCCCCAGGGTCAGCAGGTGGTGAAAGCTGAGCCAGAGCCACCCCCGACCCACTGTGGGAGACAGCCTTCTGCCCCGTGCCCTCGTCCTCAGGGGGCCAAGTTTGCCTGGGAGAGTGCGGGCTCCGGCCTGGAGGTCTGCCCGGAGGAGGTGTACGGGGCCCAGGAGCTCCACATCAATGGGGCCGTGTTGTTGGCCTTCGAGCTGTACTACAATGCTACCCAGGTAAGGGGCCACCCAGGTAAGGGGCCACCCAGGTAAGGGGCTACCCAGGTAAGGGGCTACCCAGGTAAGGGGCCACCCTGGGTGGGAGGGGCCACCCAGGTAAGGGGCCACCCTGGGTGGGAGGGGCTACCTAGGTAAGGGGCCACCCTGGATGGGAGGGGCCACCCAGGTAAGGGGCCACCCTGGGTGGGAGGGGCTACCCAGGTAAGGGGCCACCCTGGGTGGGAGGGGCCACCCTGGGAGGAGGGGCCACCCCGGGGAGGAAGAGCATCCCGGGGAGGGGCCACACAAGGGGGGGTCACCCGGGGGAGGGGACACCCAAGGGAGGTGTCACAGTGCCACCCAGTGTGACCACGGCCCGTGGGGAGCCCTTGGGAGGGTGGGTACTGGGCAGATAGTGACTAAGGGAGCCAAAACTCCTCCATGCCCTGGCCCCGGCCCCTGTCCCACTGCTGGACCCCAGGACCTGCAGCTCTTCCGAGAGGCTGGTGGCTGGGACGTGGTCAGTGCCGTGGCCGACTTTTGGTGCAGCCGCGTGGAATGGAGCCCCAAGGAGAAGAAGTACCACCTGAGGGGTGAGGGCCATGGTGGGAGGGGGTGTCCCCAGACCCAGCAGCTGCCCTGCACCGCCCCAGCCTGACTGCACCCTGCAGCACGTGGGGTCACGGCCTTTGTGCAGGGGTCATGCCCCCGGACGAGTACCACGCAGGGGTCGACAACTCCGTGTACACCAACGCCCTTGTCCAGAGCAGGTGAGGCTGCAGATCTGCTCAGCCCGGCCAGTGGGCGGGGTCCAGCCTCAGATGCTGGAGCCCTCTCCCTCCAATCCCCAGCCTGCGCTTTGCTGCTGCCCTGGCCCAGGACCTGGGCCTGCCCGTCCCTGACCAGTGGCTGGAGGTGGCCGATGAGATCAAGGTGCCCTTTGACCCAGAGCGGAACTTCCACCCCGAGTTCGATGGGTATGAGCCTGGTGAGTGGACTTAGGGCTCCTCCTCTGCCCTCCCCCAAGGCCCTGTGTCCTGGAACACACCCCCACGCCCCGTCTCCCCCCAGGAGAGGAGGTGAAGCAGGCGGACGTGGTGCTCCTGGGGTACCCGGTCCCCTTCCCCCTTCCCCCTGACGTGCGCAGGAGAAACCTGGAGATATACGAGGCTGCGACATCCTCCCAGGGCCCGGCCATGACCTGGGTGAGAGGTGCACTGGGTGGTCCTGCCCGGGCCTCACTTGCCCTCCCCACACCGTGGGTCTCACCCTAACGTGCCCTCCAACCTCTGACCCCAGAGCATGTTTGCTGTGGGCTGGATGGAGCTGAAGGATCTGGCGCGGGCACAGGGCCTCCTGGACAGGAGCTTTGCCAACATCACCGAGCCCTTCAAGGTCAGCCTGGCTTCCCTCCGTGACCCAAGCACCAGCCTCTGGGGGGTCATGGCCCTGACACCGACCGCCCCTGCCCTGCAGGTGTGGACAGAGAACGCAGATGGGTCAGGAGCCGTGAACTTCCTGACGGGCATGGGCGGCTTCCTGCAGGCTTTGCTCTTTGGGTGTACAGGGTTCAGGTGAGTGCGGTGGCTGGCGGAGGGTGGTCCCTGCCGCCACGCCCTCACACCGCCGTCCCCACAGGGTCACCAGAACAGGCCTGAGCTTCGACCCCGTGTGCCTGGCGGACATCTCCAGAATGTGCGTCTCTGGCGTCTCCCACCAGGGGAGCAAGATCAATTTCTCCTTCTCCCAGGACTGCGTGACAGTCGAGGTCACAGCCCACACGGGGCCCGAGGCGCCCCCGCTGGAGGTCGAGCTGTGGCCATCACGGTCTCGGCTGCCCCTGCCGACAGGTAGGGCCCTAGGGGTCCGGAGCACGGGTGCCCACCGTGCACCCAGGTGGTTCTCCCACCCAGGATGCCTCTCCCTTCCTGCAGGACACAAGGTCTCCTTTCCACGCTCAGCCGGCCGGATACAGAGGTCCCCCCCATAGCTGCCTGGAAGAGCGTCTCAAGGACCCTGACACACAGCTCCAGACCCCCCGTCCCTCACCCTGGAACCTGCCCCGAGCAACCAGGACTCTCCTGGGCCCTCTCGCCATGCCCTCTGTGCCTGCACCTTCTCCACCCCCCCAGCTGCCCAGCAACCAGGCCCCCAGGCTCACAGCATGTGTGGCCTCAAGTGCCAGGCTCTCTGTCTCCAGCCTGATCCCCTCTGAGTCCCCACTCCTGCAGTGGGCGTCCCCCTCCCGGGGCTGTCGGCCCAGCACCAGCACACGCACCCCGTGGTGCCCCTTCTTGCTCACTGCCCTGGGGTGCCTGGCACTGTCCTCTGACCTCTCGCTCCTGGACTCTGGTGCCGTGGGCACAGTCAACAGTGCACCATGTGCATCTGTGCTGAGATGGGCACGGGCAGGGAACTCGGCCACCCCGAGGGGCTCAGGGCTCACAGCTGCAGCTTTGCCAGAAAGACCTGGTGCCATGCCCTGGTGCTTGCCACGGCGTGGGCCTTGGGCCGCTCCTGAGCTTGGGTCCTTAGATCAGGTTGGACGCCTCCTGCCCAGTGGGGTGGGCGGAGTGGTCTGTCCTTGACCTCACGCTTTGAGAGAGCACCACCAGAGGAGCCAGAGCCAAATAGCCATGGGTCAAGGCCACAGCCTTGGAGCCCTATGCCCTGGACAGGCAACCCACATCCAGACACTGTCCAGCTCCTGTTCCTGGGGCCTCAGGCCCTGGGATGGAGTCCTGGTGGCTTCCCAAGAATGAGGTGCCGTGGTGTGTGCACCGGAATCTGGGGAGGACCACGCCGTCTGCTCCAGGTCACCCAGGGATTAGTGCTCTGGTGTCCGTGTGGGAATCCTGGGGCGGACCTTGCCCTTGGCACAAGTGGGCCTGGGGGATTAAAGGTTGGTGCTGGGAGGGGCTGTGTGATCCATTTCCCTTGTCGCTGTGAAGCCACATGGAAGCTGCCGGGATGGGGAGGAAGGGGGAGGAGTCTTCTTGGACAGTGAGCCCTACCCCAGCCTAGGCAGAGAGTCCCTGTCCCTCCTGTGTCAGCCCCTGGGGAGCCATGTCTGGAACATGCACATGGCCTCTGGAGCAGCGCCAGTCACCCTCCTCCACTCCCCGGCAGAATTTGGAGGCCGTGTGCACGGTAGAGGCACCACACGCTGCTGGCCACGGGGATGCAGCACCATGCTCCTGGGAGCTCACAGCCACAGCAGCAGGGCTACAGCTCAGGGCCTAGCCGGGAGCTGAGCCAGAGCCTGTAGGCTGTACCCCGCTGAACACCGTGGGTGGATAGGCTGAGGGAGGGCAGAAATGGGACATTTATCCATGGAGCCCCAGAATGAGGACGTGGGCACAGGTGTCAGAGCAGGGTGGCAGGTGTCCCTGAGTCCGCAGGACAGGTGTACCTGGTATGGCTGTGTGTGTGTGCACAGACGGGGTGACCTGGGCCTGGGCTGAACAGCCCCTGCCCCTCACAAAGCCTGGGGCCCTGCTCTGGTCCAGCCTGGAGCTGGCTCGCTGTCTGTGTCCTGGTCTAGCACAGGAGTGCACACTGCGCTTGTCCTTGGGCCATTGTAGAATGGCCGGTCAGTCTCCAGCCCCCAGTGAGTTCCAGTCTCTGCGCACCCAGGCTCAAGCACAGGCAGGCTGAGCAGGCCTTGCCTCCCGGGTTGACTGGGCGCTGTCCTCAGAACTCCAGGCACACACCTGAGCCACCTGGAGAGGCAGGGCTCGTGCTGGGGGCTCCGAGGACCAGACAGTGAGCCCCACCCCCAGCCTAGGCACAGCAGGAGGGCGGGGGTGTCTCCTGGGGAGGGAAGAGACCCTGGGTGGGGTGCTTCACCCTGAGCCACTGGTAGCCTGTCATTGGCCCAGCCACGGGCAGTTTTGACGTGTGTGGGGAGGGGGGTGTCACGTGGTGCACCGCGGATGCGGGATACTGTCCAACCATGCACCCAGCACCACGGGCTCAGAGCACACTGTGTGCGTCATCACACGCACTCCTCCCTGTCTCTGCTGTTGTGTGCATGCCACGGGTGCGATTATGCATGTGGGGTGACTGCACGGGGGCCCCAGGTCCCGGAGTGTGTCCAGTCACAGCCAGAGGATGGTCCCAACCCAGCCCCTACCCAGCCCTCCTGCCATCCGTCACCGACCCAGAAAGAAGACGATCCACGACCAATGGATGGCGACGGAGAGGGGCCCAGAAAGGGGCAGCATCGTCCAGCCCCGACGAGGGGCACTGCAGCTGTGTGCACAGAGCTGGGGGGTGGCCCCTGTGTCCAGCCCCGATGAGGGGCACTGCGGCTGTGTGCACAGAGCTGGGGGTGGCCCCCGTGTCCAGCCCCGACGAGGGGCACTGCAGCTGTGTGCACAGAGCTGGGGGTGGCCCCCGTGTCCAGCCCCGACTGAGGGGCACTGCAGCTGTGTGCACAGAGCTGGGGGGTGGCCCCTGTGTCCAGCCTTGAGCAGGGGCACTGCGGCTGCGTGCACAGAACTGGGGGGTGGCCCCCGTGTCCAGCCCCGACGAGGGGCACTGCGGCTGTGTGCACAGAGCTGGGGGTGGCCCTTGTGGCTCCGAGACACCAGACCACAGGGCAGCAGATTTCAAAGGGCTGGATCCCAGCTGCATTTTAAATGTTCAAGTGTCTCCACCCGGAGGCCACAGGCCAAGTAGATGGAATGGGGCCACTGAGGTCAGGGCTGCCCCCACCTCCCCACACCAGACAGGGAGGGGGTACTTTCTGGAGCCAGGCCAAGCCGGTCAGTGGGGAAAGGCAGTGTGGGTCTGAATGGGTCAGCACCAGGGGCCCAGGCTGGGGCTGGGCGTCTGAGGTCTGGGTGGGCCAAGGCCCAGGCCTTACAGTAGGGTGGGGTCCCTGCATCAGGACCTAGCCTGTCTGTCATAGTCTGTGTCAGTGAACTGGACGCTGAAAAAGCTGCAGAGCCCTTGGCCAGCTGTGACAGGTGCAGGGCGGCGGCCACCACCAGCCCCAGGAGCAGCAGCAGGGGCACCAGCGTCCACAGGGCGGCCAGGATGTTGTAGCACTTGGCTCTGGAGCCCAGCCGCCCAGCCGCCGCCAGATCCCCAGCCACCTTCTGGTCTTGGGCCTGCAGGGGTGCTAGGGTCAGGGTGTGCACCCTGGGACCCCACCCAGGGTGCCTGGACGGCGGGCGCTGGACCCAAGCTCAGGAGGGCATGGTGGGGCCTCAGGGGCCCCTCACTGCCCCAGCTGGACTCAGGGCTGGGCCTCTCCTTGGTCTTGCAGGGTCAGGGTCCCCAGCCAAGGGGGGCTGGAAAGGACCCTGCCCTCCTCCCTCCCCAGCTGAGGACCCCAGCTTCAGCCTCCAAGGCCACCCCACAGGCAAGGAGCCTCCTGGGTTGCTGCCCTCCACCCACCCAGGAGCCAAGTCCAGGGGCCCTGGCCTGGGGAGGAGTCTCAGATGACCCCAGTGGGATGCTGCCCCTGAACACTCTGCAGGGGACCCCCACCCTCTGGCTGCGCACCTTGATGGAGTAGGCCAGTGCTAGGAAACCAAGGCAGCACAGGTTCAGGTAGAGTGTGCTGAAGACAGACCAGATCAAGTGGTCCCGTGGTGGGGGTCACAGCGTCCCCAGCGTGAGCGATGTGTGGGCGGCACCCTCGGCCTTGAGGGGCACTGGGGCCTGCGGGTCCTCACGGGGTACGATGTGTCCACGGGTTCCAGTGCTGTCTCCTCCTCGCTCAGACTCACGCACTGGGGGTGGGCGCCCCGGGTGCTGATAGCTCAGCCGCCCCCTCCCATCCCAGGCGGCCTGCTAAATTTAACTCAAATTACAGTCTTGGAGAGTGAGGCCCCACCCTCGGCCACCAACACCCCTGCCCCACCCCTGGGACCACCCACCGCAGGCCCCTCTCTGGAGGCCACGAGGCTGGAGCTGCCACAGGCTGTGTGTGGGCGCAGGCTTGAGCGAGGCCCTGCCTTGGGACCAGAGCTTCTGCAACCCCACTCATTCCCCGGCAGGTGCAAGCCGGGATGCACCGAGGGCCTGTGCACTGGGCTCCCGTGGCTGAGCAGCCCTCGTCTTCCCGGCTGTCCCAGGGGCGGGGGTCCGCAAGTGCACCTGTGCCAGCCCAGACCTCTCTCCAGCTCCCCTCACGGCATCTGCACCCGAATCTTCAGCAGGAGACCCCCACCCATCCTGCACACAGCCTCTGCATAGCCTTCCCCAGAGTGGCCAGCCAGGGCAGGTGGAACCTCGCCATCCCCACTGCACCTCCTCCTCATCAGGACTCGCACCTTGGGCGGAGTGGGGCAGTATCCGCACCAGGGGTTCAGAAGCAGCTTCCGGGAGGTCGGATAGGGGCTCTGTGAGCAAGCCCAGAGCAGAGGGGAAGGAAGCGGGAAGCTGAGTGGCCACGGGACCCCACACAGCCCTGAGCTCCAGGGCAGGGATCGTCCTGGACAGTGCGGGGAGCCCGACCCAGGGCCAGCTCCCTGGACAGCGTGGGGTGGGGGGAGCCCGACCCAGGGCCAGCTCCCTGGACAGCAGGGGGAGCAGGACCCAGGGCCAGCTCCCTGGACAGCAGGGGGAGCAGGACCCAAGGCCAGGGCCAGCTCGGCGAAAGCGGCCTTTCTCGGAGGTATGCCTGGGAAAGACTGCACTGCCCTGGTGATGCCCACACTCCTGAGACCAAGCCCGTCTTGAGTGACTTCAGCCACAGTGGGGGCTCCACTCGCCCTGCGCCAGCGACACCTCCTTCGCAGAGCCAGACTCCTGAAGACAATGGCAGAAGGGAAGGGCCAGCGCCCCCCCGCAGCAGGCTCCAGGGTCAGCAGTGGCTCTGATGCACTCCAGGGTCAGCCGAGGCACCTGTGAGAATGCTGCCTGCCTGTTTGCTTCTGCTCCAGTTACACTTTGAGGGGGTTTAAATGACTGCTGGGAGGTCCATGGCCCTGAGGTCCACCATGGAGACCCTGGCCTGGCCCCTGTGCCCAGGGGTGCCTGAGGTGTCTGGGACTCTGCAGTACTCTGGGCCCACAGCCCCCATGATGGCCACGCGGTCACATGAGGACATGCAGGGGTCGCTGTGAGGTCGCCGTGAGGTCGTGCAGGGGAGGCAGAGGCAGAACCAGGCGCTCTGGTGCGCCCCAAGCCGCCCGAGTCAGGGTTCAGGAAGGGCCCTGGGCTCAGTCCTATGCACAGTGGACGCTCCTCCAATATGGGCTGTAAAGGCCTGGCAAACCGCGCCACGGCCCTGCCTGTCACTTGTGCTCAGTAACCACAGCTGCACCTGGGAGTCCCCTGGACGTGACGGCTCCACGGCAGCCATGGAACAGTGGACGGCCGACTGACAGCGCCAGGGCCTGAGGCACCACCCAGCCCACCCCCGACACCAGGGTCACCAAAGGACCCCCCACCCAGGAGCTTGTGGTCACCTGCTCCCATGTCCTCCTCAGATCCTACCACTGCCCTGGCCACCAGCAGGGGGCGCCACAGGCCTTCCCTATGTCCCCTAGCCAGGGCGGATTCCAGGAGATTGCAGGGGAAAGTGACCCAAAACTGGGGGCCAGAATTGATGGGGGGAGCGGTGGGTACAGCCACCCCAGCTCCCACCTCAGACGCCCAGCAGGTCGTGGGCACAGCCAGCCTGAGGCCATGCGGAACCCAGAAAAGGAAGTCCCCTGGGTGGGACAGGGCCAGAGCTCAGGACATTGAGACTTCTCTGCAGCCGAACACAGGTCTCCCCACCCCCACCCCAGAGGAGCAGGGACACTGACCCTGGACCGCCCGGGAGGGCCCCTCAGCTGTCCCCATGACACAGGTCCCCCCAGCTCCTGCCCAGGCCCAGAGCCGCACACATCCAGCCCCTGTGGCTGCCCCAGCCAGCTCAGAGCCAGGCAGAGCTGCGCCCAGGGTCCAGGCTGTGCTGGACACACTGTGCCCCCAGTCAGGCCTCAGGCCTGCAGCAGAGGGACCCCAACCCAAGGCCTTGGTCCAGCTGCTGCCTCCAGCAGGAACCAGAGGGCCTGCCCTGCTGAGCACATGGCCGCCGCAGCCCCGGTGGGGCTCGGCAGCGCCCCCCTCACCACTGTCGCAGCACTGTCGCGCACACACGCACTTTATTGAGCCCCGCTCTGGACAAAATACTCCCGGGGACACGGGGTCCAGGGGCAGGGCCGGCAGCCAGGGTGCGGGGAGCAGAGGCCGGCGCCGGACGCGCTGTCTCCAGGTGTCCTCTGCTAGGGAGAAATGGCGTGGAAGATGGCAGCCGAGCTGGTGGCGATGACGACGATGGCTACCACGGTCAGGAGGAGGCTGCCGATCAGCGCACAGATGTTCAGGCACTTGGCAGTGGAGGCGTAGGCCTGGGCCCCGGTCACGTCGCCCACCATCTTCCTGTCCCTGGCCTGGGGGGGGGGGTCAGCCCCAGATCAGTATCCCCCCCAGATCCCACCCTCCTGCTCTTGGCCCCTGTGCTGGCCCCAGAGTCCGCAGTGTGAGGGCTGCAGCATCTGGTGGGGGCAGAAGGGAGGATTCCCGGGGCTGGAGGGGCAAAGGCCAACCCCGCCTGACCGGGTCGCCCCCACGCGGCCTGATCCTCAGCCTGTGAGGTTCCCTAAGCTCCCCCACCCCAGCCCCAACACACACACACACACACACACACACACACAGGGGAGGGCACACACAGGAGACAGGTCCACACAACTAAGGCCACACACACCCAGCACCGCCTGGCAGGGGAGCTGCAGCCCCCGCCCCCGCTTCCCTGGAGACCCCCGGGCGCCCACCGCACCTTCACGGAGTAGGCGAACGCCACGAAGCCCAGGCAGCACCAGTTCATGAAGAGCGTGTTGAACAGGGACCAGACCACGTGGTCGGGCACGGAGACCTCGCTGTGGACGTTGATGACGGTGGAGGCCACGGCCGCCGAGTGCGGGGCCCCCAGCACTGCTATCTGGTGCTCCTCTCTGAGCTCCTCATAGTTTGGGGTGCGGCTGGTGCTGGCCGTGGAGAAGAAGGTTTTGGAAACGTTGCTCATGGCGCTGACTTGCTCCGAGTGTGCAGGGAGCTCTGGACAGCTTGGCTGCCCCTCCTTTTCCTGGCAGTTTCGGTTTCTGTGAAGTTTCCATTTCCTGGCTTTGGGAGAAATTTGGAATAGTGCGCGTGGTGGGGGGGCAGGGGGAGGAGCACATTCCCGAGGATCAGATTACGTTTGTTTGTGCAATCTGGGAAGCTGGGCATTTGATCCTGGACCCTTGGTTGCCTTCCCCCAGCCTGGGTTCTCCACACCCCTGCCCCAGTCACAGCCCCCCACAGGAGCACCCCCACACCCTACTCTAGTCACAGCCCCCCCAGGGGCACCCCCACACCCTGCCCCAGTCACAGCCCCCCCCGGAGAGCACCCCCACACCCTGCCCCAGTCACAGCCCCCCAGGAGCACCCGCACACCCTGCCCCAGTCACAGCCCCCTGGGGAGCACCCCCAGACCCTGCCCCAGTCACAGCCCCCTGGGGAGCACCCCCAGACCCTGCCCCAGTCACAGCCCCCTGGGGAGCACCCCCACACCCTGCCCCAGTCACAGCCCCCCAGGAGCACCCCCACACCCTGCCCCAGTCACAGCCCCCCCCCAGGAGCACCCCCACACCCTGCCCCAGTCACAGCCCCCCCCAGGAGCACCCCCACACCCTGCCCCAGTCACAGCCCCCCAGGAGCACCCCCACACCCTGCCCCAGTCACAGCCCCCCCAGGAGCACCCCCACACCCTGCCCCAGTCACAGCCCCCCCCAGGAGCACCCCCACACCCTGCCCCAGTCACAGCCCCCCAGGAGCACCCCCACACCCTGCCCCAGTCACAGCCCCCCCAGGAGCACCCCCACACCCTGCCCCAGTCACAGCCCCCCCCAGGAGCACCCCCACACCCTGCCCCACGGCGTGATGCCTTCAAGGGCTTCCTGGCTTTGGGGAGGGGGAGAGGAGGCAAGGAGGAGCTGCTGTGCAGAGGCTGCCCAGTGGGGCTGAGTTTTGCTTCGGGGGCCCAGGAAGTGGGGGTTAACATCTGGGCAGAATATTCATCCGACTTCTTGGAGAGGGACGTGACTTCCTGGAGCTGGGGTCCACCCCTTTCCTCTCCGTTTATAGTCACTTCCGTGGGTGCAGCGTGGGCTGGGAGGGGCTTTCCTCTGCTAGGAGGCTGCAGGGAGGA